AGTCACAGATGAGAATATCACCGGTGTGAAACAAGGTTTTAGGGTTTTAGCTTTCTGATGATTATCTCTTAGGGAATCATCTTCTTCAAGCTTCTCAATTTCTCCGTATTCGAATCAAATGCAAAGCCTTTTCGTATACCCTTAAGTGGAAACTTGTCAATTTGTGTCGCCTGCAAATGTCTCAGTCACTGGTTCGAGCAATCTCAGCTCGGAAGAATCAATTGGGTCTTGGGTTCTACTATAGATGCTCTGATTCTCGCCGATTTCATTCCCAAGAGAAGATCATTGCTTCCAATGGCTGCAATCGTTCATTTCTAGGTATCAAAAATCTCATTTTTTTGTTCCAAAACTGTGTTTATACGAATCCGAAATCTGACCTTTTTCCTGCCTCAGGTTTCACTTCATTTCCTAGACATGGAAGTCATCTTGATAGTTTTAGGTTTTCTGGTAATTTGATCCAACCCACAAATGGATTTTGCTCGGTTTCTTTGAATGGAGTATTGGACTCGAATCAATGCTCAGAGGAAATAGTTATTGATAATGGTGATGTTTCTATTGAGAGCTTAAATGTTGAGAAGCAGCCAGTGGTTGTTTACAAGAAACCAATTGACTTCACCAAAATCGATGCAAAGCTACTACCCACTGTGATGATTATTGGCCGACCAAACGTTGGAAAGTCTGCCTTGTATAACCGGTTAGTTTCTTTCTTAGATGTAAGTTTTGATTGAGATATATATATTATTGTGGATTCAGTGAATTGTGTTGTTGTTGTTCAGATTGATTCGGAGGAGGGAGGCACTTGTTTACAACACTCCAGATGATCATGTAACGAGGGATATTAGAGAAGGGATTGCTAAATTAGGTGATTTGAGGTTTAATGTGTTGGACTCTGCTGGTATAGAGACCGAAGTTTCTTCGGGTACTATTCTTGGTAGAACCACAGCTATGACGGCTAATGTGCTTGCTAGGACTCAGTTTGCAGTTCTTATTATCGACGTGAGGTGAGATTTTAGTCTCAAGTTGCAATCAACTATTCTGATGCTAGTGGTTTGTTTCTATGAAATTATATTGTGTTTTTTGTAGGGCGGGGTTGCATCCATTAGATTTGGAGGTTGGGAAATGGCTGAGAAAGCATGCTCCACAGATTAAACCCATTGTAGTAATGAATAAATCGGAATCACTCGGTGAATCTCTTGCTGAAGTTGCTTCAGAAGCTCTTGCGCTCGGATTTGGTGAACCTACTGCTATATCAGCTGAGACCGGACTTGGTATGACTTCACTTTACGAAGTTCTTCGTCCTCTACTAGAGGATTACATGGTCGAAACATTAAACGGTAATAAACCCCATCTAAACTCGTTAAAAAAAAAAAAACTTCTCAGAAGCTGCTTCCTTGGTTTTCTTCTCTCTTTACTGAACCTCACAGTCTTATATTAGATAGATGCAGTCAAGATGATGATCCAAGTGATGAGAATGTCTCTGATGATATTGACGAGTCCAAGATGCCGTTGCAGTTAGCGATTGTAGGTAGGCCTAATGTTGGGAAATCAACATTGCTCAATGCATTGTTGGAAGAAGAGCGTGTGTTGGTGGGTCCAGAAGCTGGTCTTACTAGAGATGCTGTGAGAGTTCAGTTCGAGTTTCAGGGTAGGACTGTTTATCTGGTACGTTTAGAATTATAATTGTTCTAGTTCTCTTACATCAGCTATTGTTCCATTAATGGTAAAAGAAAAAGTGGGACAAACTTTTATCTTATTCACTTTGATGTTTTTGCCTATTTGTTAAGGTTGATACTGCTGGTTGGTTGGAGAGAACAGAACGGGACAAAGGACCAGCGTCTTTAAGTATCATGCAATCAAGAAAGAGTCTGATGCGGGCACATATTATCGCTTTAGTTCTTGATGCTGAAGAGGTTTGTCATGTTCACACTTACTTCCATGATTCGTTCTTTGTGCACAACTGTGAAAAAAGAAAAGAAAGAGGAAATAAATAGATGCTTATCGTATTTTTAAAAATTTGCAATCTCCAGATCATAAAAGCTAAATGCAGTATGACACATTCAGAAGTAGTTATAGCTAGACGCGCTGTAGAAGAAGGACGTGGTCTGGTCGTTATCGTTAACAAAATGGATTGTCTAAGAGGGAAACAAAACTCTGAGATGTACATGAAAATCAAAGAAGCTGTTCCCATTGAAGTTCAGACAGTTATTCCTCAGGTAATGTGATCTCTCTTAGTAATAAAAAATTGTATCTTTTGTTAATTCTTGTATCTTCTTTTGACATTATTCGGGCTCTTGACTGATGAGAAACATAATTTGTTGTTGCAGATTACGGGCATACCGGTTGTGTTTATCTCTGCATTAGAGGGGAGAGGACGTTTAGAAGTAATGAACCAAGTCATTGACACATACAAGAGATGGTGTTCAAGACTTTCCACAGGACGTCTCAATCGCTGGTTGCGTAAGGTCTGTAGTACTATCGAACTAGACTATTGGATATACAAAAAGATGACATCAGTACTTGCCCTGATCATTTGTTCTGTGTGTTGAGTTAGGTTATGAGCCGACATTCTTGGAAAGACTCGGCTTCACAGCCAAAGATCAAGTTTTTTACACAAGTGAAAGCTAGACCACCAACTTTTGTGGCGTTTATGAGCGGGAAAAACCAGTTACTGGAAAGCGACATAAGGTTCTTGACTAGATCATTGAAAGAAGACTTTGATTTAGGCGGGACTCCCATTCGAATCATACAGCGGGCTGTTCCTCGGACATCCTCTGGTACAAGCGGCGTAACAGGAAGAAGCCCTGGTGGTCGAGTGGTGCCAAGAACCACTTCAGACAAACGAACCGTCTCGGTCTAAAAACCCATTACAACTGAAGAAATAATTCCTACATTAACTAGTTTTGTTCTTTTTGGTATTCGGTAGTTTATGTATCGTTTCGTTCGATCCTACTTCTATATGTCATATTCCTCAAGCCAGATTTGTTTAATACGATAACTCTATTTCAATTCAAATCTGAAATCTCTGTATTACTCTTGCTCTGCAAAGAAAGTCACTAAAAATTGTTGACGAACACTTTATTGTAGTGTCAATCATAGTTTAGTTTTTCTCCCATAATCCTCTCTGTGACAGTTCTCTAGCGGGTTCAAATGCACTTACAAGTTCATTTGGGAGAGTATATAAAACTTATGTTAATTAGGGGTGTCAAACTTAGCTCAATGATGAGTTAGAGTATTTTACGGTTAAGTTCAACTCAACTCATTTATTATTCGAGCTTAAAACCATAACCTCGAACTCTTAATATTTTACCCAAATAAAAAAAAACATAAGTTCGAACTCAGATCATCTAGATCATGATTTAAATGATTTGAGCTCGCGAGCT